TTTTCTTTTCTCTTCCTTTTCTTTTTCTCTTCTCTCTCTCTCTCTCTCTCTTTCTCTCGTAATATGCCCAATTTTAAATCTCCCGGGAATAGCCGAATGAAATCATAGCCATTTTTTTTTTCCATATTCTTGACCAACATGCATATAATCGAAACATTGTTACGATTGATTTATCGTCGGCACCTCAAATGTTATTTGTTTAAAAAACGATCCATTTCTCCTTCTTCCTCTTCCAATCCTTTCCCTTTTTTTTTTTTTTCCTTCCCCGCTCCCCCGCTCTTCCCGCCCTTATATAATGTGACAATAGTGTATTATTAATGTATTCGGCATTAGTTCAAAAACGAGAATTAGAAAGTTGATTAGATGACAAATTGAGTTGTGACCATCAATTGGGATTGACTAACCAAACTTGAATGAATATAACTCATATCGTTATCTTAAATTTCTATTTCAAATATCTATCTATCTATCGTATTCTTATCGTATATTTTCACATGATTTATGTATTGAATGCTTTTTTAAACTTTGAGTGACCATTACTAATGGTCATTTAAGGCTATTGAATAAACATCTATGTATTAAGAATGGAAGTGTTATCGTCAAATGTTAGATCATTCTATCTGTTCATGTATTATTCACACTCTTCCTTCCTCTCTATCTTTCATTCTTTTTTGCATATCCAATGATACTCTGTAATTGGTCAATAATGTCGCATATTTTGTTTGACAATGTTCAGTAGATCATCTTGATGACCATCTCTTTCTTTTTTTTTTCTTTTTTGTTTCCTTCATCTTATTACTTTTACGACTGTTACACGATTGATCTCTATGATTATCATTATCATCATCCTTATAATTATCACTATCACCCACCCTATAATTATCATCACTAACCATCTTGATCAATTTTACGATTATTACTATTACTATCTGTATAATTATTATCATTACTATCTCTACAATAATTATTATCACCATCTTTATGATTGTCACTTTTACGATTATCACTATCGCTACATCTATAATTATCACTATCACTATCTCTACAATTATCATTATCACCATTTCTTACAATCAAATATGAAAGTAATATATGAAATTTCACGGTTATCATAAATTATTTATCACAACGTTTATATGAATATATGAATTAATATGTTTAAGTGATAAGTGAATTGAAAGAGGAAAAAAACGAAAGGTAAGTTTACGTAATTTGAGAGAGGAAAAAAAACGAAAGGTAAGTTTACATAAATTAAGAGAGGAAAAAAAACGAAAGGTATGGTAAAG